GATACAATTCCCTTCTTGAAGATGAGGCTCCTCAGTCGTTAACAAATGTTTTTATTTTACATATATTACTAATCCGTCATTTTGGTTGTTATTAAAATTAGTGGAGCATAAATTATAACCATTAATTTTGGGTAAGTTGTGCTTATTAAGCAACCAGCATTCACTTAGTACAATGACATCAAAATCTATTTTTAATCTAATCAGTAATAGTTTAAAATTTGTAATATTGCAGGTAATACTTCGTATATTCTGCCTAATAACTGTGAAGTTGGATTCACTAGATGACAAGTACTTATAACAATCGTCAACGTCACAGGCTATCGATTTTGATACCGTAACTTATCTAAGTTAACAGTGAAGCTTAGAGCGTTATTATCGCCTTTTATTTATTACTTTAAATTTCTCTAAGAAAATCTCGTTATTGTTCAAATAACATCTTTTATTTGATAAATTAATTGAAAAATGTAACTGTAAGTTACATATATGAAATGAGTGAATATGGTTTATTATAATCTCCTCAGACCCGAGACCACTTTGTGTTTGGTAATGAAATAAAATTTTAAACACAGACATAGACCCCTAAATGACAAAAAAATATTTAAAAAAATTATAAGTTATTAGTTTTTTTTTAATTGTACGTCTCCTATACAAGACTCTGGGTTTTAACATGTCAATTTTCTAATACTGTAATCAAAACGAAAAAATATGAATTAAAACGTTTATTTAAACAAAAATGTTACAGTTACTTAGACAGATTCATGATAGCGTTTGTAGCAATTTCGTCCTACTACAAGGCATAAATGCATGTTACAAGTAGAGCAAAACACTCTAGCTTTCTTGCTTTTACATCCTGGCATTCGGCATCTGTGATTGTCATTTTGTTCATCAATCAATGGCAAATGACCGGCCATGGCTCTCCTCAGTTGAACTGGAGGTTGTGGTATATATTTTCTTTTACGGCTCCAAGGTTGTGCTTCTTCTGTTGAGTCGTCTGAATCTACTTCATGAATTATGTGTATCTGTTCCCTCGCTGGTGTAAAATAAAGTAATGAATTTGCAATTTGCACTTTGAACTCCAAGTAGTCCAAAATGTTTTTTTTTAGGGCATTCTAACAATTTAGCTTCATTCCTGTATACAAGCCATCCAGCAGCTGCCGCAAAATCAAAGAAGTGGAAAATCAGACGAACAGTCCATTTTTTGGAACGTGCTCTAATTCTGTAAAAACTGATGACCCTGTCCAACATATCTACACCGCCCATCATGGTATTATATTGCTCTATTGCAAATGGTCTGTCAATTTGGACATACTGTTTAGTTTTTTTACACCAACGTCTGCATTTGTTGATGGGTTCTTTGGAATCAACAGATGATGCCATTATTACTGGTTTGTTATCAAACCACTTTAGACATGCCACATTACCGTCACTGCGAACGAGTTGACCCGAAGAACCACATCCTTGTTTTCTTAACTCATTGTCAGTTTTGAAATTGCAGTTTTTAGGTATGTTTGCCTTTCTAAGAGTACCTGTTGCCTGCATCTTCTTTGAACGTAATTTGTCCAGTAAATCCAATGATCTAAAGTATCTGTCCATGTATAACTTAACTCCTTCAGGCAAAGTTTCAGATAACTTCAGCACAACTTTTCCGCCAATATCAAGACCTTCAGCTTCATTGGTTGTGAGTATTAGTATCTCCTTTGCCCTCATGCATGAAGAAGTCTAAAGGCACACCATCTGGAGTAGTGCACACGAAGTTTTTTAAACCACAGGGGTTTGGTTTTCCTCTTATGAACTGCCGCATTGATACTTGACCCCAAAAGGGTATCATCTGCTCATCTACACTAATATGTTGAGATCTGGGAGTTTCTAGGCAAGCTTTTCTCACAGTTTTGATCAAAGGGTTAACTTTCCAGAATTTATTTTGCTTGGATGCTTCATCCACCTCAAGATCATTTACAAGTTTAAAATTTGTCCGAATTTTAAAATAACGGTCTCTAGTCATGCGGTCTGCTATCACTGCAACCCTTGTCCTGTTTGCCCAATACATTCTAATCCTTGGCAAGCGCAAATAACTCATAGCTATAGATATGCCGAAAAATAATTTAATTTCTTCCTTAGTTGTGTTCAGATTTTGACCTTTCTTCAATAAGTATGTCTGGTTTGAATAATTACTTATTATTTCAAACATTACTTCAGGAATATATCTCAAAAAATATTCAATTGGTTCTTGTAACAAATTAACGCGACTTGCAGCTAAAAGTTGACAGTACATGCCTGGTGGATATGGAGTGAAATCATTTTCATGCTTGAAATATAGTCGACGACTTGAAGTCTGACGAGCAGCAACAGCAGCCAATGGTACGTCATCATCGCTCGAATCGTCGTTTGAACCTTCATCCTCCAGCTCTTCCAGGCGTGGTTCAAGATCTTGACTGCCTTCGAAGTCATCGTCAGAAAGGCCTTCAACGGTAGAATTATTGCCATCAAACTCTAAAATTCTTGCTATGTCGCTATCCGTCATATGGACTGCAATACAAAACAAGTAAATGAATAAAACGATCGGATGAAAACAATTAAAATACCTATAAAAATATTAAGTCTGAAACCCCATGTCCCCTCTACGGGACAATCATGTACTTGACGCGATACTCGCTAAAATATTTGCGGAAATTTAAAAGCAATATCTTATTTTTATCTTACATACTTTAAAAATGAAGAAATACATTCGTTTTTAAACTAAAATGCGTTAATTTCAACAAAATCAATTAAAAACTTACCTTGGGCAGCCATTTTTTGCAGAAATTTTCAACCACTAACTTCAAGCTGTCAAAAGTTTACAAAAATGAGCGCCAAACATGGTTATTTTTTTTTTCAATAGGTGACATCTACATTGAAATAAATGTACTAATAATTAGGAAGTTACACTTTGATAGGCGCTGGAGGGCAGTACTAGAAAAAAGGTCTCGTATAGGGGACGCCAGGTCCTAGGAGGATAAAATGTAAGTGTGATTTAAAAGCTGTAATTAAGATGTGTGTACATAATGTACGACTTTTGTTTATGTACTTTGTGTAAATTGTGACTATGTGTATTATAAGTAGGCATGAGTCGGATATATCAAAACAAATCTAAAATCCGATTTCAAACACAAATCGATTCGTATAGATTGCTCAAACTAGAAAATCCGATTTCAAAAATCGACCTAAAATAATAGCTAAACTCTTACGATCTTTACAACCAAACCAATCCAAATCGAAAACAAAATCGACAATATCCAAACTTAAACGCAAACTGTTGCGTAGAAATCCAAATCCGTTTTTTCAGTGGCTCTCTCGATGTCGTGAAGTTTGCGATTCAGATTTCGGTTTGTCGGCTTTGGAATATCGAAATCTATTACACATTGAGATATGGGATCAATATTATCCTTACTGCTTAGTACGTAAAGTCTATATTGGCTTTGCGAGATTATGCGTAGATGAATTTTTGGTTCAGTGTGCGATCAATATCTGTCTTATTGTTAAGTCGTTTAAGGCTATATTTGCGAGATTGTGTGATGATATATTTTTGTTTTTAGTTAAGTGTTTGCTTACTTAAAATAATTTTTTGTTTTCATGTTGTTATGTTTTAGACTTTAGATGTAAATTTAATCCTGGTGACAACTGACAACTGCTCCCATGCCGGTCAGTCGTAACAGTGTATTGTATTATATTATTTACTGATATTTATTGCCTTAATACCTATTTGTTTAGTAAATATATGAAAATAGTTTATAAAAATATTTAAAAATTAGGAGTGAGTTGTGTGAATGTGTTGAATACACTCAGTATGTTTTAAGTGAGCAAGTTATATAATATAACATTTAAATATTTTTAATTTTGACTATTAAGTTTTTTTTGTTTAGACTTTTTAATTGATTAGACGAGAACTGTATTGATTTTCAAGATTTCGCGTAAACCCAGTGAGGTATGGACTCATTTTGACGAAAAAGAAAACGCTCTTGGAGTTGGAGTGTGTAAATATTGCAGTCAAAACATATCGTATATATCAACAACGGGTAAATTAGGAGCTCATTTAAAACGATCTCACGCTTCAATTTATTTAGCGTAGTTAGATTTGCGTTTGTCGTTTTGTTAACTTATAAAACGAAATCTAAGTACGCAAACGGATTGGCGTGGCTAAGCGATACTGAAATCGGATTTTGAAATCTGAAATCGGATAAATATCGGTTTGCGTTCAAATCCAAAAACGCCCATGCCTAATTGTAAGGTATAGGGTTAGAATATACTTTATTCTTATAGATCGAAGAAAATATCTAATCTAAACCTTAAAAATAAAACATTATAACATTCGGTCTTCCGTAGATTTTCTAGATCTATTTCATTACTTATTCTAATTTGAGAATTTTCATTCTTGCGTAACTATACAATGCCTCTAGATGTCCAGCAGAATAAATATTTATGAGTTATTTTTCGAAAATTCTGGCCTGATAGAAAAGTTTTGAGTATTTTGTGTTAACGTCTCCCTGACATATATAAGGATGTTTTTTGTGAGTAATTAGATTAGATGCGAAATATTTAATTTCTCATTTTTTGATTTTGTTTTATTAAATCTTTTTACTTCATTTAACATCTTTTTTTTAATAATGACTGAATTAAATTCCACTATTATCGGTCTAGTTCCCGTCTCAGAAATAGTTCTATACACGTCTTTTATGTCTGAATCCCGCAAATTTACATTCAAACACTCCCCTAATTTCTTAACAGTGCTACATAGATTTTCTTTTGTTTCTTCATTGTTTTTAGGTATGTTTTTTATATATATTCCTGAAAATCTACACTTTCTTTCCATATTTTCTATTTTCTCCTGTAGTTGTTGTATAATATATCTATCCTGCTTTTTCTCTGCCTCTAGAACGGATATCCGTGATAGAAACTCATCATACTTGCTTGACGTAGTATCGACGCTCTTTTTAAATCATCCTTCTGTTCTTTTATACTAGAAACTATAGTTTGTAAACCTTTGCTTGTTCATTCATATAAACTGAAAACATTTCACTCATGTAAGACATAATGTTAGAATTCACTCCGTCATGTTTCCTATTTTTACGCTCAGTAACATTTAACGTAAGCGATGGAATATCAGGCGCAGATTCACTGTGAAGTTTTGTCGTCCGTTCTATCGCGTCGATTGCGCGCGTCTGCGATTGCGATGTATCATCAGAGCTAATAGGCACGGGCGAAGTGGGCGGCGGTGTGCGGTTGATTGGCATTGTATAAACCGGTTTTGAAATAAAAGACGCTTTAACGTTTAAGGACAATATGAGTTAGAAAGTGTGATCGCAGTATATTTGCGAACTCGTACTCCTAATGCAACCGTACAAGTAAGATATATGGGCGTATTTTTATTTTCTTGTACCATAGTTTATAAAAATAAAACTGCAATAAAATACTATATTCTTTTTATTCTAATCATAAATATATTTATTAACTGAATATCTATGTGTTTAACGTTGATACCATATCTTTTTAAATAAAAAATGGTTTAATGCGCTAGTTCTGATAAAAGGCTCCATTGAGTTACGAAAAATTAATAGAATTTTTATAAATAAATAGGCCAGTAATTATAAAATAACATTTATTTCGAACAGAATCAGTCAGTGTTACAATTATCTATTAAATATTAAACATTTAAACACAACTTGAGCAATGAAAATCTAAATGCTCTCCTTTGAGTTACAGTTGGTCATAAACCTACACTTTCTTTTTGCTGCTAACGTATTAATGTCAAATTAGACAATAAAATCTAACACAATGTAAAATAAAGGAAAAAAATATATTTATTTGGACGAATGAATGAATATACTTTATTGTACACCACAAACAAATTTACAAAGAACATAACAGAGAGCAGATTACATGTACAATTTGGCGGCCTTATCGCTACATAGCGATATCGGTAACAAAATGGCACGTAAATTAAAGAACTTAATGAAATATCTTTAATTTCTTAACACTAGATTTGGTAGACATCACTCAATGGAATTACGAAATAACTAAATGGAACAAGTAAAGTTTTGCTCACAAGAAACAATTTTTACCTAATAATATTCTGTTTAACAGGAAGCTACTCTAACTGCGAGTCTATAAAAAACATGAAATTAATAAATATCTATTTGGAACAGTAACTGAAGTATTATTAATTATCCAAAACAAATAATTAAGACGGTTCACGCGTGTCATTTCATACAAATTTTCAAGTTCTTATTCTTCGATGTTTATGAACCGATTTTAATGAAACTTGGTATACATCTTGCTACATATTTATTTATCTATGGTATACATACGCTTCAGAGCCAGGTCTAAATAGTTCGTATAGAACATTTTCGAAAAATAGTTTAGATGAAGAGTGAGGACAATTTTATGTTTTCTATAGAAAGTCAAAAATCACTCTATCTTTTCCCCTGAACTCTTTTTCGAAAATGTTCTCTACTAACTATTTAGATCAGGCTTTGAAGCGTATCCATACCAACTTTCATTAAAATCGGTTCATAAAAATCGAAGAATAAGGACTTGAAAATTTGAATGAAATGCCGACACGCGTAAGCTCTCTTAAGAAAAACTAGTCGCCTAAAGATTCGTCACAAATGTATCATCGTAACCGTAATGATTTGCTTCTATCCCAGCACATTGCCTGCAGTACCAGGCTGAACAGCACATACATTTTCTAAAACATTGAAACTGTTTTTGTTCTGTACATTTACGGCATGTTATAGAACGTGTGACTACTGTTCTAATGGACTGAAATTTGCCTTTTGCCTTTGAACTTGTGTCAAATTTGACTTTTTTAGTTAGCCTGCTATTGACGTCTTTCATTTCCATTAAATTTAATGTTCGTTTTTTAAAATTTTTTAAAAATATCGTTTTCAATATGTTCACTTACAACCTGAAATGAAATTGATACGATATTATTGTAGGTAAAACTAATTAATGTACGTATAATTACGTTATACGTTTAATTAATTGAAATATATTTTTACATACTTTGAGTACATTTTAAAATTATCATCTACTTACTTTTTATTGAGTGTTGTCCTCGCTTAAATCAATCGTTTCAATTTCAACATTTGACTGGTTTACTTTGTTCTCAACAGATATTGGCAAAGGCATTGGCTCGATGTTTAAATCTGTACTATCTTGCATGTTTAGATCAATTTCCATTAATGGTTGCTTTTCTAGGCGGTCTTTTTCTATGTCCTCATCAATCTGGAAAATATGAAATATAGGTAAAGCAGAATAGTTTTTGTGTGATAACATAGAGCTAATTGTGTGTAAGATGAATAATATATTCGAAGTAAAAAATAAAACCTGTTCTTCATGAAAACATTGTTTTGAATCTTGATTATCTGGTAAATTATAAGTCACTTTTTGTTGTTGAAGCTCATCTTGAATGTTTTGTAGATCAGTCAGTAGTTTCAATTCGTCTTCATTGAATGGAATCACAATTGCAGAATTATATTCATTCGTTACATTTAAATCAACTTCGTCTGTGCTATTTTCCTTAATATTTTTCCTAACCTTTTCTTTAAAGATGTGGGTTTTCAAGAAGTAACAATTGCAGATTCCTCTTTTGACTCCGCAAAAGCAAGACAAATTCCTGTCCTGAATTTGCCCAGCATAACTGGAAATTATTTGGTGTATTTGCATAGTACCAACTAAGGGAGTCAGATTGTCAGGAACAATTTTAGTTATATTTTCAATATCGGAATTTGATATCAGCCATGCTATGCTGCAGCATGGCTCTACCACGTATAAAATGCTCTTCGATGCTTCGATTCTTCGATGCTCCAAAATGTGTTGCCTGAATTTCTTCGGAGAGCTTACAAAGATAATTTTCCGAATAATCGCAAACAATTAATATTTCGTTCGGTTTTAAGTTCTGTATGCAGATTTGATATTGTCTATGTTGATGTAGCCAAATGAAATAATGTTTCTTAAAAACAGGAATATTTTTCTCGAACATATCTATAAGTTCAGCTACGGTCGCGCTCTTTCTCAATTTTACAGTCTTTGGTTACAAAAGTTTTTTTTAATACCTTTTTCAGTTTTCTGGTATTCGTGGTTCACTCTCTCCCATTGATACCACTCTGTTTGTGACTCTGCTTTACCTGGCTCTAAACTGTAGTTCAATTTACATCCATTACACTTTGGACAATTACCCATCATACATTTTTCTGATTTTAAATCACAGCACAATTCTTTCAAGACGTCGTTCATACTTGGATAAAAAAAGACTTTGTTTTTCTTTAATGCATACATCATTTCAGTGTTGTTATGCTTTATGCATAAAAATATGCATAAAAAAATAAAAAAAAGTTTCTCTGTTTTGAATATTTGGGGTCACAACATAAAAGGGTTTATATTTGTAAAATGTATAAAAACTCCGTTTTCCTCCTTCTTCTCTGTATATGTTATATAAATTCAGTAAAGTATCAGTTAGATAGCGTATTTGTTTTGTAGTTTTGCCAAATGTCCGACATTCTCTTTTCCCTGATGTTATTCGAGTTATATCATCTCTGACATAAAATCTTTCAATTTCTTTTTTAATACTGTCATCTTTCTGCTTCCTCCGAGATAATCTTATCTTCCCCTCAAGTCCCAATATATTAGCCACATAAGTTTTCTTTAAAAAGACAAATTTTTAGCGAGTAGCGTAGGCTAATTACGTAATATTAAGGTATCAAAATATCACTTAAAGAAATTGTTTGACGTGCGCTGCAAAAACTATTGGTCATACTTACATAAAATCACAGTCAAGGATGACCATGTAAGTACATATATGTACATTTTGTTTTAAATTATTCAAATCGGACCTTTCGTTAAGAAGTTACGACGGGTATAAAATGCTTAAAATAAGAAAAACGGGAAATGTCCGCTATGTGGGCTTACAACCTTACACTACGTCTATGTAACTAACATATAATTTTTTTGTTTCAATATAAAATTACAACTCCGAATTGCTCCCGTGCGAAGCCGGGGTGGGTCGCTAGTCAATTTACAATTTGAACACGCCTTTACCTTCCACTGAGTTACAAATTCATTCCAATGAGTGAAATGTTTCTCAGCCAACGTAACTAAATCTATGTGAGTGATAATACAAAAATGATTTCACAGGTTATTATTTGTGTCTTTGCATAAACTTTATGATATATTTAGAGTTTAAACCTTGAGCTTTCTAAAATATAACACAAAAACACTTAAGTAATTATTCTTACCTTGATTTTGCCTTGAATATTCCCGTTAATCAGGAAAATCTCTTCTGCACCAAACTAACATCCACACTTATTTAGCGGCTCGTCACGGTTTGCAAAATGGCTGACAGTTATGACGCTTTGAGTTCTTGTTGCCAAATTGAAAAATATATTTACAACCGGTAAAAAATAAAAAATATGGTTTAAATTAACGTAACTCAGTAGGAACCTTCCACTTAGATCCATTTTGAGTTACGAGAAATAAACTCTTATAATGCATTGATTACGGTTGATATTTCCGTGTAAGGCATTTTGAACGTTCAGAAATATACAACTGCTTTTGGAGTCAGTTAAAATTCAAAGTTTTGGTGGCAAACAGTGATGTTATGTAAAGATTAAACCACTGTACTTAGTGAGTTACATCACATTTTCATACATACGAGTACTTTCAGAAAATCATAAAAAATACAATTTAAAGAAAACCTCAAAATAAAAATCATATTTAAAAACAAAAATAAACACTTATCTTTATTTTTTATTCACATCATGAATATTGATAATGATCACCAAAAGAAAAATAGCACAAGTGAGGTGACAGGTGAAAAAAGGCATGGTACAAAAAAATAAAAATACGCCCATATCCGTCTCTCTTCTTATCGTTTTACTAACGTTTGGACGTGATGGACTCCTCCATCCTCCTGTTACTTATTTCTGTCGTCAAATACCACTGCGTGCACTGCTGTGTGCCAGTCTGAAGAGTATTGAGGCAATATAATCACAGGCTGTGGGGCATTGCATCTTAGAAGTCAGAGGTGACAGCGCATTGTAACCTTATATGTTTGAAATTAGCTGCAGGCAGTCCGTGGACTGCAGTACCCGCTTACCATCAGGTGGATCGGCTACATACCATAAGGTGGACTGTTAGTTTTTTTTGTCACATATAGTCAACCAAATCTAAGAACCATTTTGACAGCTGTCAGACTTATTGCACCAAACATGCCAACCAATAAATGGGAACGTAC